CGGCCAGACTCCGTTCTACATCCTTGTCTACGTAGACGATTTGGTCTTACCTCCAGTGGCTGGACTAGTAGTGCCGCCCTGGCTTGCTTTAGTATTTTTTGTACCGTTGCTGACTGGTCTCCAAACCCCTACCTCAGTGGTTGGACTAGTAGTGCCACCCTAAGCTGTTTGATTCTTGCTTAGCTTTACCCCTTGTCTAGTCTAGGGGGTGTGTCAACTTATACATGTTGGCTGTGTACAAGTTATAGGCTAGACTGGGGTATGCTTTTAGTGAGTACAACCAACTAGCATTTGTTCTAGGTTTCTACCTCTAGTTCATTATTCAGTTCTTACTTTAACAATACGTCCTTATATACACCTAGCTAGGCTATAGCTTATACCGTATATACCTAACACATGCCATTTACTAAGGTATTAAAGCGAGAGACTATAATAATGACCCCCCTTTCTAGTTGGGCCCAGCTTGAAAGTGGGCGTACAGTAGCCAGCATGACTCCGACGCACCAACTTAGGCTGGGATGCCGTTTCGCCACTAGGCAACTGACCGGGATGAGAGGTGTGGCTTGGCAACGTAAAATTACATGGGCGACTAAAACGGAACACAAAGCGACGCTGACGACAAATGTGACGGATATGCAAGAATGAGGGCCAATCAGGGGCACGCGTACAAATCCCACCTCCGAAAAAAAGTGGGGGCGTGATGGGCTAGAGCAAAGCCCAAACGCAGGGAACTCATTCAACCCGCTCAGATACTGCTCGATGCTAGCAACTACTAATCTGAAATACAACAGGAGCCCAGGGCGTGCATGTGGAGCTCGTGATACCAGGGGATACACTCGCGGAGAGTGCTTGACGAGCAGCCCAGCGCCTAGCGCGACGAACAACAGCTTAGCGCCTAGTGCGATGGCGAGCAATCCCGCGCCTAGCTCGATGACGAGCAGCCCTGCGCCTAGCTCGACAGCGAGCAGCCCTGCGCCTAGCTCGATGGCGAACAGCCCTGCGCCTAGCTCGACGGCGAACAGCCCTGCGCCTAGTTCGACGGCGAACAGCCCTGCGGCTAGCTCGACGGCGAACAGCCCTGCGCCTAGCTCGATGGCGAACAGCCCTGCGCGCTCGACGGTGAACAGCCCTGCGCCTAGCTCGACGGCGAACAGCCCTGCGTGCTCTACGGCGAACAGCCCTGCGCCTAGCTCGATGGCAAGCAAGGGAGGCGACGCAGGGTTTGCGCTTGTCGCAAATGGAAGGTGCCATGACGAGCTGCTCTATGTCCGCGCAATAGCTCATAGCTGGGAGCGCCCGGGCGGGGCCGCGCTAACAGCCGCTACCTGTCGGAGCCGGAGTGAGGTTGGCGCAAACAATGTAGAGCCAGCAAGACGGAGGGCGGGAGAGGAGGACATCGGGTTTATGGGGAGACGAGAGTGAGGGAGAGCGAGGGAAAAAAGGAGCGGGAGTGAAGGCGGGGGGGGGGAAATGGGAGCGGGGGAGAAGGGGAGAAGGAGAGAAGGAGAGAAGGGAAGGAAATAGGAGAGGGAGAGAAGAGGAGCGGCAGAGAAGGAGAGCGGGAGAGAAGGGGCGCGGGAGAAGATAAGAGCGTGAGAGGGTTGGATCGGGAGTGGAGGGAATCAGGATAGAGGGGGGGAGGGGGGAGAGACGGGGATCGGGATAGAAGGGGGCGGGAGAGAGGCATGTGTTGGATAGCGTGGCTGCTGGCAGGGTGGGTGGCTGGAGATTGGGAGGGTGAGAGTTGGTGAAGGCGGGGGAGAGGGGGGGCGTGAGGGAGGAAGTTTGGAAGAGAGGAAGGGTGGGTTGTAGGGAGGGTTTGAGATAGGAGAGGGGGATGGTGGAAGAGAGGGGGTGGGAGATAGGGTGTGTGGAATACAATGAGGGTGGGTGATAGTAAAGGTTTGTGAGCTCAGGAACGGAGAAAAGGCACTTTGAAGTTCGCCACCTCTGCCGCAGCCACGTAACCCCTCTCCTGGGTGCCTGGGTACTTGGATACCTGAGTACTTGGGTACCTGGGTACTTGGGTACCTGAGTACTTGGGCACCTGGGTACTTGGGTACCTGAGTACTTGGGTACCCGAGTGAGTTGAGATGGAGTGGGGTTGCCATTAGAGTGCGGGGACTGATGTGGGAAGTGTGAGTGGAATGAGAGTCGAGTACGACCGGAGTATGACTTGAGTATGGCTGGGGTAAGGCTGAGTGAAGTACAAGCGGAGTATGGCCGGTTCCCCCCTTCGTGCACCCTGTGCTGGGCCAAAGGACGTAAGGGCTCATTACTTTGCCCCCTCTTGCAACACCCTTTTCCCCCTCTCACTCCTCCTTTTCCCCCTCATCCTTGAACCAACCCTGCCCCGGCCCAGCTCTGTAGCATAGCGCCAGGTCCAAGGCATGGCCAGCCCCTACCGGCCTGAAGGACACATCTCCTGGCCTCACTCTCGTATCACCTCGTTCCCCTTCTCCCACAAGCCTTTTCCCCATCACCTTGAGCAGTGGCCAGGGAGGGGTGCAGTGGGTGAGGAAGGGAGGAGCTGAGGGCAGAGAGGAGGGGAGGAATGGGTGAGGAAAGGGAGGAGAAAGGGTAGGTTCAGGGTGGGGTCTCACGAAAGGTGATGAGAGGGGGTGACAAAAGGGGAGGAAGATGCGCTTGATGGTCGAGGGCGGAGGGTGTCGAAATGGGGAGCAGTAGGCTTAGGACACAAGGATGGTCGGCAAAGAGAATTTCTCTGCCACGCAGTGTCAGGTCGTGCTGTTGTGAGTAGAGTATACCCATTTGCTATCTACACGAACATAGGAGTCTAGTCTGATGTGGCCTCTAATGTGTGATATTATATCATAGAATTGTCCCCAGTCCACAGTGCCCAAGCCATCGAACAGAGTTATGGAAATTAGCATCCTAAGATCCCCAATTGTATTCAATGACCACACTTCCACATGCGTTGTAGTCATTGTACAAATGAATATATCATGTGCACAGAATGCAGGCTTCGATTATGAAATTGGCAGAATGCTTGGGCCGTGACCACTGGGGTTTTATTTGACTGTAAGACACGAGACACAAACGTCACAGAACCTGGAATAAGGGAGAGGGTTGAAGAAGAGAGAGGGGGGTAGAAGGAAGGGGGGGGGAAGGTGCACCTGGAATAAGGGATTGGAGGGGAGAAGGCGTGGAAGAGGCAGTAGGGAGAGCTGGAATGAAGGGTTGGTCGTGCGGACGGAAAAAAAAGGAACAGAGAAGTGGGGGAAAAAGGGAGGGGAGGGATAAGGTGGGTGGGGGTTTGGACGGGAAGCGGGACACTGCGTGAGAGGAGAGACTCAGGGATATGAGGGAAGAGGTGAGGGGGGGGGTTGCGAGCAAGGGAATGGGCAACAGGAGCGTGAGGGGGGCAGAAACACAAGACACGGTCTAAAGCAGAGGTAAGGAACAAGTGTAAGTATGGAAAGAGGGAGGGGTGAGAACGAGCACATGGACGGCAAAAGGGAGCCGCAAGGGGAGAAAGGCTAGACATGATTAATGGGGAGGAGGGACAGCCCCACCGAGGTGAGGGAAGCAGGGAGAGGAGGGGAGATGGTAAGAGGTGGGGATGTCTTAGGGGAGAGGAGAGGGAGAGTGGTTGAGAGGAAGGCAGACGTCTGCCATTGGGCAGAGGGGGCAAAGGGGATTGCGCCTCTGCCTGGGGAAGAGGTGGAAAGGAGGGGGGAAAGAGGGGGGCTGGACTCTGATGAGGGCAGAGGGGGCTAGGGAGAGGGAGGGGTGGGGGGGACCTTCTCTCCCGCTCTCCTTCTCTCCTGCCCTCCTGCTCTCCCTCTCTACCTCGCCCCGCCCTCCTTCTTTCCCACCCTCCGTCTCTTTCGCCCACCTTCTCTCCTGCTCCCCTTCTCCCTCGCTCCCCTTCTCCCTCGCTCCCCTTCTCCCTCGCTCCCTTTCTTCCTCGCTCCCCTTCTCCCCAGCTCCCGTTCTCTCACCACTCCCCTTCTCTCCCACTCCCCTTCTCCCTCGCTCCCCTTCTCCCTCGCTCCCCTTCTTCCTCGCTCCCTTTCTCCCTCGCTCCCCTTCTCCCCAGCTCCCGTTCTCTCACCACTCCCCTTCTCCCCTGCTCGCCTCCGCGCTCGCTTCTAAGCTACTCGCCGCCGCGCTCGGCGCTAAGCTGCAGCGCCGCTTGACGCCGTGCCCGGCGTTTGCCGTCGGACGCCTCGTGGCGTCCAGCTCGGCGTTTGCCTACTCGTGAAAACGAGCTCCGTGCTGGCCTGCACGCCCTAGCCGGCGTGCCCAGTATGGCTGGCGTGCCCGGTAGCCACCGTACGAAATCGAGTCGCCGTCGATCGTACGTCGTTAGCTGTGGGCTCGGGGTACGGCCCTAAAGGCGGTGTTTTGCGCTAGCATTATGGCAGGATACTCCATATGTTGTTTGCGTACTTACAGTAGGGCTGGCTCGGGGACGGGGAGTCGGGCCGCGTCACAATCTGCGAGAGCTTCTGCTACGAGTTACGATAAGCGGGGAATGCTGCGCATTCTATGCTAGGGCGTTCTGCCTAGTGTGAACTGCCCTGAATTCTTCGGGCTCTAGTTGTGAACCTAGGTCCAACTTGAAATTCGAGTTGGAACCAGTTGAAACAGGCACAACCGTGCTGGCTGCCCTACCATGGCAGTTGAATGCTCGTCGGCTCGTGTGATGCTTTCGCTGCTGTGTACTGTATTCCTATGTGGATTCCTTTGCCTTGTTTCTGGTTGGATGCAGGAGTTGGTCGTTCCCACGCACCAATCGCTGTCCTGCGCGGCAGTTTTCCCCCCTACCCGGGGGTAATAAGGAACAGTGACTCTGAACCCCCTCGCTACAAGAGTTGGTCCCTTAGGAAAAATCCCACACAACCCCCCTTTCAAGTTGGGCCCGCCTTCACTATTCTCCATTCTCACTTTAAGGTTGGGCTAAACCCAAACCCAATAGCCTCCACAGTGGACAAGTTTCTCAGAGACAGTAAATTTTGGTGTCGATGTGCCTGACACAAAATACCCACTCAACTTACTTCTAAATTCATCCACTGCATTAGGACATTTAACAACCAGTGACCGATATCAGCGCATCAGCCTACATAGGTCCTCTTCTCATTTGCTCTTCCCTTGCAGTCAACAAACACCTACCAGAGGTCTAAAGCTACTACTGCTATGTACAGTGGGGGTTGTTGCACTGAGCAGGTATGGCAGATGGCACCAGCCACACAATGCCCCAAGCACATAGCACACAGCAGTAAATAGGCAGTGGCTTGAGTGTGGGGGTGGGGATGAGAGGAAATAGAAGGCAAGCGTTCACCAGTTGAATCCTATGTACCATCCCACTCAACTCCTCTTGCCACCCACAGCCACTTCCTAGGCTGCAGCAGCACCATTTCCAGCATTCAGCGCGCCTCCCTGCGCCACACCACCTGCTGCAGCCCCAGAGAGCGGCAGTGAGAGCGAGAGCAGGTCAGGTGCGTGCAGGGGTTGCGGTTGCAGGGCGCGCTGGTAGGTGAGGGCCCAGGATTGCGCGTCCTGGTAGCCGCAGTCGAAGAGCTCGTCCAGGAAATCGTCCTCGGCGGGCTCCAGCGCCCACGAGAAGAGCTGCCGCATGCTCCACGACTCGCGAGGGTTCAGGTCTGGGGAGATGCCGATGCCGCCCAGCCCCAGCGCCGACGCCGGGAACGCACAGATGCGCACCTGACGAGGTAGAGCGGGGGGAAGGGGAGGATTGGGAGCGAGCACAAGCACAGGAAGGTGGGGGTTGCGATGAAGTGGCTTCAGGGTGGGGGGGAGGTGCATGGATGGACGTATACACAAGGAGCAGATTCGAACAGAAAGGGTGGCGAGGAGGGGAGTAGGTGGGACACGAGTGGGCAAGCAAGCAAGGGCGTGTGGATGGCAGGTGCGCGTACCGTTTCGTCGCTGGCGGTGGGCGGCATGAAGTGCGAGAGGCCGCCGTCCACACAGAGGCGATTGCGGAAGCGAGTGGCAGGGCGAGGCTCCAGGTACCTGCGGTGCGCACAGCAGGGCGATGGGAGGGCGGGGTGACGACGGGTGACGGACATGCACACACAACACATGCTCTGCGCAGCACAAGGCACGCAGCAGGGCCGCACGTGAAGCACTCTCAGTGGACTAGACACGTCCCCCCCCTCTCACTCCCCAGCACCGCCCTCCTTAATGACGCACTCAACTGCGAGGCTCCACTGGTTGCGTCTCTTAACTAGCCGCTGTGGCAACCCCTCATCACTCCGCCCCGCGTCTCTACTCCAGCCCCCCCCTGCGCCCTCCCTCATCGATCACCCACCAAAATCGCCCCTTCCTCACTCGCGTCCACACACTGTGTGTTCGTCCCATTTTGTCCCCATCCCTTTTCCCTTCCACCCATCCCCCCTCCCGATCTCCCCCCCCCCCCCACGGCAGGCGCACTGACCCGGGCACGAAGGAGGAGGTGATGAGCGCGTCGATGAGGTCAGCGCGCGAGTCGAACTGGTCCACCAGCACGCCGCGCGGGCTGCCGAACACCTGCGTCACCGCCACTGCACGCCACCACGGGGGCGCGGCACCAAGGCCAAGGGGAGGGTGGAAGGTTAGGGCAAGGGGACGTGCCGAGGGAGAAGCAGCTGGCGACACGGAGAAGAATTCAGGGCGCGACGACGGACTCGGGGGAAGAGGGAAGCGGGGAGGAACGCGGGGAAGGGAGTTGACGAAAGGTGAGGAAGCAGGGCGCGAGTGGTGGGGCTTACCTCGGATGCGGCCGTTGCAGGAGAGGTGTGCGTCGGGCGGAAGTATCTCCTCCAGCACGGCGCGCAGCAGCTTCTGCGCAGGGGGCGGTGGGAGGGCGGCACGCACAGAGGTGGAACACAATGAGCTCGCGGGAAGGAGAACCGACGCCGCAGCAAAAGCGGGAGCAGGGGCAAGGGGGTGGAGAGCAGCGCGAGGGGCGGGCCGGTTGGCGCACTGACCCCGAGGCGGAAGGCCGTGCCGTTGGCGCGGCAGTCCGCGGAGAGGTGCTTGGTGAGGTGCAGCGCAGTGCGGGGGTCCACTCCCGACGCGATCGTCGCACACACGATGGCTCCCGCCGACGAACCAGCCAGGGGCGTGTGTTCCTGCACAGGGAAAGGGGCACAGCACGAGAACAAGGTGTGAATACACAAGCATCTTTAAGCGCTTACATTTACGTCAAGACAACGCGAGCCGTGTGGCTTGATCGGGCGGCGGACACGAGAGTGCGCGACGTACCGTGATGTATCCGTGCTGCTGCAGGAAGTGCGTGGCGCCCAGGTGGTAGGGGAAGAGCAGCCCCGCGGCGGAGAAGCTGAACCCGGGCTTGCCCAGGAACGCCCTGCGCGTGTCCTCGGCGTCCAGGTCCATGCGGCGCTGCCCCCACACCATGCTCGGGTCCAGGTCGTCGCGCATCACCGACGCCAGCTCCCCTCGCCCGCCCTCCTCCGCATCCGCGCCCTCCGCGTCCTCCGCCGCGTCGTCCTCAGCGGCACCGCGCGCAGACCGGCCCCCCAACAAACCGAGCCACTTACGCTCGTTGACGCGCGGCTCCCCGTCAGACTCGCTTCCCGAGGCGGAAGCCGACCCATCCGCGCCGTCGCTCGCCTCGCCGTCGTCTCCTTCCGTTTCGCCCCCCTCCTTACCGCCTCGCGGCGACCCACCACCTCCCCACCGCAGGCCCCGAAGCGACTGGCGGAAGAGCTGCAGCTGCGGGAACCGCTCTGCGTCAGCAGACGCGGCGGCAACCGCGGCGGCAGCTGCGGCGGCCGCAGCCGTGGCGGCAGCGGCGAGGGCGGCGACCTTGACGGGGTCGGAGGTGTGCGCGACGACGGCGGCGAGCGGCCAGCGGGAGCCGACGCACGCGAGGAGGCGGTCCCTGGCGGTGTGCTTGAACTGCCACCAGTCGGACACGAGCACGGAGTAGTTCACGAGGAACGACACCAGCAGCGACGACGTCACACGAGTGGAAGGCGGCGACAAGCCGGCGAAAGGAGAGGACGAGATAGCCGTACCAGTGGTAACCCGACTGCTGCTGCCGTGATGGCCGGCGAAAGCGCCTGTTGTGGTGGTGGCAGCGCGCGACGAGGCAGGGGCATGGACGGTGGCCGTAGGAGCCGCCGGAGCGGAGACGGAGAGAGCGGCGGAAGATGCGGCAGTAGCTGCGGCGGCGGCAGCGGCAGCAGAGGAGTCGGCACCGACGCCGTTACTGGTGCCCTTTCCACGACCCACGAGAGCAGTGAGGGAGTCAAACGGGCGGAGGTTTGAGGGGAAGCCGATTCCAAAGCCTTCCAGCACGGCCACGGTCACAACGGCTCCGCCCACGGGCACAAGGGCCTGGCTCGATAGAGCCGAGGCGGTCTTCTTATCAGCAGCGAGAGTTGTGGGGCAGAGCGACGCTCCCTGCTGCTGCAGATGCAGCTTGGAGGCACTCGACTCGGAGCAAGCAGGCGCATGACTGCGAAAAAAGAAGGCGGTGAAGGTAGAGGGAGCCCTCGCCAGGCACTCCATAAGATCAGGTTCACTGCAACAAATCGTCAACTATGATCACGGTCGTCTTCGTGCTGAGGCTGTGTAGCGATCTGCTTAGATGCCTAATAGTTAATTCTGCTATCAGCTAGTACAACCACAGCCCTGGTAAAGTGGAGGGAAGGGATGTGGAGTGCAGTTCAAGCCAGCCAGGCCAACGCGTCCTCAGCCCAGCACCGAACCAACTTTTCGTGGTCTGCGGAAAATGATAAGATGGTTGTGAGCTGGGGGAGGCCTTCTGCCTGGGAGTTGCGGTGCGCGCATGGTCTCATCCCCCCCAGTTCAGGTGGCGCCACTGTGAAGCCAAGGGGGAATGAGGAAACGCGGTTCCATGACAGGTTCCCGTGACGTGACGACGCGCTGGGATTGGCGACTCACAACCCTCGCGAACACGAAGGGCGAGCCGAACGAGAGTGGAGGAGGATTGAAGGGTCAAATAAATTTCTTCTTAGGGGCATCGAGAAGTTCACGAACGTCATCTTATCCAATCATGGAAGTTGTCGGCGGGCAGATGACGTCGCAGCTTAACCAATAGTTGACGACCTCGACTTGGCATAGCCTCGAGATCTGGAAGTGGACCCATTTCCACACCTTTGACAAACAATGTATCTGAAAGTTCTAGGTGTTGTTCCCTGCCAAATAGTGTATCTAATGGCTCTTAGTGCACTAAAACATTCAAAAGGTTCAGCTGAATAACGCTGTCGACTTTGCTAAATTTTGGTTCTGGTTTCCGTTTCTAGTTCTTTAGTGTTGTCATGAAACTCTTCTTGGCCGACTACTCAATTCTTGTCACACACGAATCACCTTAGCAGGCGGCACGGGACAACTTTTCGAGTCCACGTGGAATGCCAGCGAATCCAGTCGTCTTTTGTGGAGCTGTCTCGATTTCTCCCAGAACCTCGGATCAGGTTCGTGCGGGCTGCTTGCCCGTCGGGCAGGGCCTTGCCATGGGGAAAAAATATTTGCTCCCAACATGAGAGCCTCATCCACGAGCCTGACAACCTGGCCTGGGGCCAAGCTGGAAACCTCCTGAACGGACCTGGCACCCCGATATGTGCGCCCTCAACAGGGTTAACCCCTCAGGTTGTCTGACATCTGACAGCATCTGCATGCGCTCGGTGGAGTATCTGAGGGCGTGTCCCGCGCGTTCGCCTACAAATCGCAACGTACGGTTGAGAAAGTTTTGTGACGTTTCAAAACGGTTAAGGGAAACAACCGCTCCTGACCATGGATGACCTTACTGCACCTCCCCAAAATAACACAGAATGTAAGAGTGGGACACGCCCTTAGGGGACCGTTGTGCCTCGTTGCCAACCCCTCCCACCTGATACAAGTGTTACCGAGAGACCACCTGTGTTATGAATGAACAAGCAGAGTAGCGTGGAAATGAATAACGAAGTGTTGAATCACTCAATGACGATACAAGGAATGGCAAGCCAAGATATAGAAACACCCGAGCTAGTCTAACCATGAGATGGGAAAGTTCGGGAAAGAGATCGAAGGGTCTCGAAGTGATGAAGCGAGGCCCGGAGAACTCCCTAATGTCGAACTAGAAGGTCTGGAGAAGCCTGTCAAACATAATTTAGTATGTTATTGTAGACTATATAGGTTTGTGCCTTAAAGGGTACAACACACTAGCCTATATTGCCTTGTACTCTCACATTCTGGTTCATTCTTTCAGTTTGAGATGGTATCATGAGTAGGTTAGGTCCCCTCCGCCCACCAGAGCTTCCGCCGTAGGTCCTAGCCGTCTCGCCGGCCTCGTCTCCTAGCGGCCCCGCGGCCCCGTCCCCTAGCGGCCCCTCGGCCCCGTCCCCTAGAGGCCCCGTCCCCTAGCGGCCCCTCGGCCCCGTCCCCTAGCGGCCTCGCGGCCCCGTCCCCTAGCAGCCCTCGGCCTCGTCGACCAGCGGCCCCACGGCCCCGTCCCCTAGCAGCCCTCGGCCTCGTCGACCAGCGGCCCCACGGCCCCGTCCCCTAGCAGCACGCGGCCCCCTCCCCTAGCGGCTCCTTGGCCCCGTCGACTCGCGGCCTCGCGGCCCTGTCCCCGTAGCTGGCCCTGTCCCGAAGCCGGCCCTGTCCCAAAGCCGGCCTTGTCCCGCCGCCGGCTCGTTCCCCTAGCCGGCCCCGTCCGTTAGCCGGCCCCTGCGCCCGCCCCGTCCCCGGCCCCGCGGCCGTCCGTTCCCCCGCCCCTCGCCCGTCTGTCCCCGGCCCCCGCGCTCGCCAGTCGCTGGCCCCTGCGCCCGTCCGTCGCCGGCCCCGCGCCCGTTCGTTAGCCGGCCCGCGCCCGACCCGTCCCCGGCTCGCGCTCGTCTCTGCGCCAGGCTCTGACGCCCAGCTGCACCGCACTGTACAGCACTGTACCGCACTGTACCGCACTGCACCCAACTGAACTGCACTGCACTGTACCGCACTGCACCGCTATGCACCGCACTGTACAGCCCTGCACTGCACTGCACCGCAGCTGCATCGCTCCAGATGGCGGACTCTGTGCTACGGTTTGATGCGGAGGGTCAGCCGATCGAGTTCGACACGTGGCTCGTCGACCTCCGCCGTCACCTCACAGGTCAGCGGCAGGACGGCCAGTCCTTGGCTGTCCACCTTGATGGTACACTCCCCTGTCCTGACCCCCCCGCTCCGCTGCCCGCTGACCCCACGTCTGCTGATCGAGAGTCCGCTGCTGCTGTTGCCCTTGCCCGCTCGATCTGATTGTCGCGTAACGCTGTTGCACAGCTTGCCATTAGACATGCGCTTCCCCTGTCTGAGCGTCTCCACTTTAGGTCTATCCGGACTGCACAGGAATTCCTCGATGCTGTCATTACTCGCTATTCCAAACCATCCTCTGCCTCCGTAGGCCGCCTGATCTTGTCCCTGCTTTTCCCTGATCTCGCGTCTTTCCCCACTGTCGCTGACCTAGCCGCCCACTTGCGCACGCTTGACTGGACCTGCTGGTGCACCCCATTTTCTGTGGCCGTTCGTCGTTCGCTACGCCGCTCACCAGCATAACCTGTGGCCGCACCCTCAGCGGCCGCAGGTTTCGCTGACCCTTCTCTGGACCGGGTCTCCTGGTGACGCGTCTGCGTTTCACGTCTGGGGCTGCCTTGCCCACGTTCGTGCCTCTGGCACGGACAAGCTCACTGCCCGCACACTCCCCAATGTCTTCCTAGGTTTCCCCCTCGACTCGTCTGACTGGCACTTCTACCACCCCCCGTCCCACCATTTCTTTCACTCTCACGACGTCACCTTTGACGAGTCTGTCTCCTTCTACCGCCGCTTTTCCCATCGTGGTCCCTCGGTTACTCCCCCCCTGTTCCTGGTCCCTCCTCCCCCGATCGCCCCTGCCCCACCTCCTCCCCGCCCTGCCTCGTCTGGTGTGTCTCACGTTACCCCCCTCCCGTCGGTTGTCCCGGTTGAGGAGTCTGCTGACTCTGGTGGCCCTCCGTCGCAGCCGCAGCCGCCGTCGCAGCCGCAGCCGAAGTCGTCGTCGCCACTGCTGCCACCGTTGTCGCCGCCGCGGTAGCAGTTTGTTCCTTCTGGGGGTGCTGGCGTTGAGGAGGGTGCTAGTCATGGGGCTCCTGTCGTGGCTAGTCCCGGCGGGCCTGGGGGTGGTCCCAATGCGGAGCGAGCTTCTGGTTCTGGGGGTGTGTCGTCTGGGGGTGTCGGAGTGGAATGTTTCGGAGGTAGCCGTGGAGCAGCTGGCGGTCCAGCTGTCGGCATCGTGCAGCCGCCGCAGCAGCAATCGCCGCCGGTGTCCGCCCTTCGCCTGCTCGGCCTTCCCTCCTCTGACCGCGCGTCTCCCCCTCTTCTACCGTCTCTATCCTCTTCCTGTTTTCGGCCCTGTGTTCCCTCCTCCGGACTCGTCTCCGGCTCGCCTTCCCCCTCGTTCTCCTCCTGTTACTTCTCCTCTGTCTCCTGACCCGACGCCTCCGTCCCACGTCTGGTCTCGCCGTCCCTCTTGGGCTCGTCCTGTCTCTCATGTTCCTCGTTCTCACCCTATGTTGCTTCGTTCCCACGTGTCACGTCCTCCCATCCTAACGTCGCCTCCTCCGTCCTCCCTTATCGCCGCGCCTCCCCCTCTGTTTGACTACCTTTACGCCGCTTGTCCTCTTGTTCCTCGGGTCCTTGCCTCCCTCGTTACTGACCCATCTGTTCCTGTTTCGCGTCTTGACGTGCTTGTGGCCGCTGTTGCTGACTTCGCCTCTACCCGCCGCCTTGACTACGCCACTGCTCTGGTCTCTGACCCTGCCTGTCCTCCGTCCGTCGAGGGTGCTCTTGCCCTCGGCAGTGACGTCTTGGAGGACCGGCAGTACGAGCTTGCTTTCCTGTCCGAGGCTACTCCCCATCTCTGTTCTATGCTGCTAGTCCCTGAGGGTGACCCAGATGCCTTCGACATCCCGACCCCTCGCACCTACGCTGAGGCCACCTCGGAACCCTGGGCCGCTCAGTGGATAGCTACCATGGAGTAGGAGATGGCATCTTGGAGATCCACCGGCACCTACGTCGACGCAGTTCCCCCACATGGGGTGAACGTAGTTGATGGCCTGTGGCTCTTCAAGGTGAAGCGCCCCCCTGGAGAGCCGCCTGTGTTCAAGGCGCGCTACGTGGCTAGAGGCTTTAGTCAGCGTGAGGGGGTGGACTTCTTTCAGACTTTCGCCCCGACCCCAAAGATGACTACTCTTCGGGCGCTGCTGCACGTAGTAGCTCAGCGCGACTACGAGCTTTACTCCCTCGACTTCTCCACAACTTTTCTTCAGGGCAGCCTACACGAGAAGGTCTACCTGCGCCGCCCGCAGGGTTTTACTGATACCTTCCCTCCTGGGACCCAGTGGCTCCTACGGCGCCCAGTCTACGGCCTGTAATAGGCGCCCCGTGAGTGGCACGACAAGCTGCGTGCTACCCTAGCTGACCTGCAGTTCTTCCCGTCCTCTGCCGACCCCTCACTCTTTGTTCGTGCTGGCCAGACCCCGTTCTACATCCTTGTTTACTCAGACGACCTGGTTTTCGCTACTGCAGACAGGGACGCGCTGGCCTTCGTGAAGGCAGAGCTGCTGAAGAGACACACCTGCACTGACCTAGGAGAACTGCGCCACTACCTTGGCCTTCAAATCTCCAGGGACATAGCAGCGTGCACCATCACTCTTACACAGTCACACTTGGTGCGCCAGGTCCTTCAGCGGTTCGGTCTTCAGTTTTCCTCTG